ACCAAGGCAAACCATCTTCAGTTCTACGCCATGCTCGCCTAAGAAACAACGCGCGGTCCCTATGACTGGAAAGATCCCGCAGTTTGGCATGCGATCCTTGGGACTCAAGGTGCCAGGATCATGTCATCCGGCATGGCCAGCCCAGGGAATGGCCCATGTCAGGGGGTTGACAGCAGAGGAAGAACAACTGTCCGCGGCTGTCCAGCAACTCCAAGTCTCTGATCGGAAGTCCAAGGGCCAAAACACCAATATCTTGCCCGGCGAATCAGTCATTGATATGCTTGTCAAGTCGTTAGACACCCTCGGCATCATGAAGTCTCTCCAGGATACAACTGATGATTACCAACCACCTCCACCTGAGCTTCGCCTGCCGGGAAAGCACTTTGAGAGTGGCCGCAAGCTGCGTTCGCGGATCAAACCTGAGCTACGAACATGCTTGCCTCTTGGGAGCCAGAACGACGAGAGTGATGACGAGGTTCTCACGGCATCCACCCGAAAGCCTCACCCAGCTGTTGCTCGCTTATATAATTCCCTCGAGACCAATCTTTCCGCATACGACAGGTCTCAATGTGAAGAGCTCACTTGGGCGCAGAAATACGCGCCTATCCTTGCAGAAGAAGTGCTGCAAAGTGGCAAGGAGGGTGTACTTCTCAAGGAATGGCTCCAGACACTGAGGGTCCAGTCTGTGAATACCGGTGCAGCAACCGCCGATCAGAAGTCTGGTGCTAAGCCTGGATCTGCGACAAAGAAGAAGCGGAAGCGCAACAAGTTGGACAACTTCATTGTATCCGATGGCGACGAGACAGAGTTCCTGCCGAGTGTCTCTGATGATGACGAGGACGATTGGTTGCCTACCCATAGTCAAGGTGGTCCCAAGAAAACCGTGGTTCGCAGAGACATTGGCAAAGACCTCAGCCGACTAACCAATGCTGTTGTACTGAGCGGTCCGCATGGCTCTGGCAAGACTGCGGCGGTTTATGCGGTTGCAAAGGAACTGGGCTTCGAGATATTCGAGATCAATGCGAGCAGCCGCCGAAACGGCAAGGATGTGATGGAAAAGGTCGGAGACATGACACAAAACCATCTCGTCCAGCAAAATCGCCAAGGAAAGGATGACAGCAAAGCCGTGGACGACGAAACATCCAAAGACATTAAATCTGGCAAACAAAACACCATGATGTCCTTCTTCAAACCCAAAGCAGCGACCAAGCCTGAGTCGAAGCCTCAAGCCGAACCAAAACCCGAGCAGAAGACCGAGCAGCCAGTTGAGGCACCCAAGACCACCAAGGCAAAGACCCAAAACCAGAAGCAGTCCTTGATTCTTCTTGAGGAAGTTGACGTTCTTTACGAAGAGGACAAGCAATTTTGGGCAACCATCATGAATTTGATTGTCCAGTCAAAGAGGCCCTTCGTCATGACCTGCAACGACGAGAATCTTGTTCCATTCCACAACTTTGTCCTCTATGGCATCTTCCGATTCACACCTCCCCCTGGAGACCTGGCTGTAGACGTGCTTCTTCTCGTCGCTGCGAATGAAGGCCATGCTCTGAAGCGCGCAGCTGTGAGTGCACTCTATGAGGCAAAGGGACACGACTTGCGGGCTTCTTTGATGGAACTCAACTACTGGTGCCAGCTTGGAGTTGGCGATCGACGGGGTGGCTTTGACTGGTTCTACCCGCGTTGGCCCAAAGGATGCGACAAAGATGAGAACGGCGATGTTGTCCGTGTTGTGAGTGAAGGGACATATCTAGAGGGAATGGGATGGATAAGCAGGGATCCTGCAGTCACCGGCAGCTCCCTTGCCTCTGAGGAGGAGTTGATGACACAGTGCTGGCAGGGCCTGGGCTTGGACTTGGGCAACTGGCATGATTCCCTCGACATGGCATCATGGGCCGAAAGCGTACACACTTCTTCCGCTGGAGACCGAGCTGCCGCACTTGATGTGTTCTGTGATTTTTCAGAGGCGATGTGTGCAGCTGATCTTTGCTCTGGTGGTGACTTTGGGCTCAGATTACAAGTAAGTGTGACTCGGTCCTGTTGGATGAGCAAAACTTACTGTCGACAGGAATCCCTTGACCCTACCCAGCCAGATATCTCAAGCAAGTCGCGCGATGACTTTGTCGTTGGACGGCGACTCCTTGAAGCACCTCCACTTACGACATTTACCTACACAGCCACCGCCATTTCCAACAGCCTCAAATCCGCCGCCCGTCAGACCCTCCAAGCTGCCCCCAGCAAAGCTGGGTCTGCAGTCAGCATGGATCACATCGGGGAGGGCAAGGCAATTCAGCAGATGCGGCGATCCTTCAACAAGCCGACGAAAGACACAGCCGTCTCACGATATGATATGAGTCTGGCGTTCGATCCGATTGCGGCTTCAGAGAAGGCACTGGCAAGCATGTCCAACAGTCTTGAGCCGTCGATATTCGACAGGACTATGCGGATGATAACACTCGAAGTCGCACCATATGTGCGCAGCATTATCGGATACGATCACCGTTCAATGCAAGAGCGCCAGCAGAGAAGCTCGCTTGTCAGCGAGGGCGGCAGGCCTGGCAAGCGAATGCGCAGTACTCGAAGTGCGCTCTCGGCTCAAGAGGGCGTGGCGCGCGGTAGTACTCGCAGAGAGAGCTATTTTTCTGCCGAGCTGAGCACGCCTTTGGTCATGAGGACCGGAGGAGAGGATTGGCAGGCGGCTGTGGATATGGAGATGAGGCTGATGCCGCGCCTGCCAAGTGTTGCCCCGAGTGACACCAGTAATGAGACGGCAGCGCCAGTGTCGAATGCCGAGGTACCAGTGCCGAATGCAGAGGTTCCGACGTTGAGCGCGGAGTAGACGAACATAATGATTGGGCTGCATTCAGGAGCTGGAAAGCGGCACGCTTCAGGGAGTTTGTGGAAAGGCATTAGCAATGGCTCATTTCATCGATAGATAACACGGCTAGATGAGATTGAACTTGATGATTTTTTTTCTAGCTTCTTCTGGTCCCCGCCGTCTTCAGTAGTAATCTGACCGTCGCCTCGACCTCCTATCATCGTACACAGTTTCTGGCCTTCGCCCATCAGGAGACGGAAATCGGGCTGCGCCTCTCCTACTCCAGTCCTCAACGGCATCCTCCACCCTCCTCGACCGGTTGTCCTCATCAAAGAACCTCTTGCTACTTTCCGCCTCCGACCTCCCAGACGTCTTCGCGTACCTCACAATCTCATCCCTTGGCGGCCCCATGATGGCCTCTTCTGTCAGCCTTTGCCCCCTCGGCTCCTCAGCAAGGCGGTACGTCCTGGGCGGAGGATTGTAATCGGAAAGGTACCCGTCACTCTCGTCCTCGTAATACCGCGGCCCCCTGCGCGGCGGTAGCCTCCGCGGAGGGCAGTCGCACTCGGGGACATACCCGTTGTGTCTGTCGCGGACGACGTTGCGGCGGCGGGAGTGGCGGCCGGGGGCGTTGAGGGTGTCCCAGTGGGGGCCGCGGACCTCTGGGTGTTTGCGTTTGTGCCAGACGCGGTGGATGCAGATTGTGGCGACGGCGATGGCGGCGATGAGGACTGCCGTCGTCTTGAAGGAGGGCTTCTTCTTGGGGAGGCGAGGGCGGCGGTTATTGTTGTTGTTGTAGCTCCGGCGGGCGTTGCGAGGGTGAGGGCCGGCTGAGGATGAGCGGGAGCGCGGTGGTGAGCGGGAACGGGAGCGAGATCTTGAGCGGTAGGAGTCGGATGAGGATACTGAGGACGAGCGGCGGCTGCGGGAGGGAGGCATTTTTTGAGATTTTTGATGTTGCCTGTGGTCGTGATGAGAATTCTGCTTCGGGGTGTTGCGAAGGCAGGTGAGATGTTGGCCAGCCTTCTCAAGTGGCGGTATATGAACCTTCCCTTTCCCTTCTCCGTCAAAGACAGATGAAGAAAGAAGGGCAAGCTATCAAAGACGAAAGAAAATCCCAAGGTGTGGAATTTATCAAAGGGAGAACCCTACACCGACGGACAACGACAGTGCGGTACGAGAGTTTGACGGCTTGAGCTTCGTGTTCCCCGGTGTCAGAGTCCGTACCTCCAGAGTCTGGAATTCGGTCCGAGCGAGGGTCAACCCGGTGTGTTGGTATTAGCAGCCACGATTACCAGTCAGACGAGGACGCGAAAACGGTGGCGGAGGTCGACAGGCAGTTAGAGCCGGTTTCTCGGGACGATGCCGCTTACACAGGGATTTATCCTGCGGTATGGCGCGAGTCGACGATATCAGCTGGGCGAAGATTTTTTTGGGAGTGAATTCGGACAGTTTTGATGGGTGAGATGGCTGGGAAGGGGCGACCGCCGGGCCGGTGAAGCGTGGATCGGACGGTCTGAGGGTTGAGGCGTCTTTCGGATGTCGAGGCTATGCAGACGGGTGAGGCCTCGCTGCCTGGCGAGGGAAGGAGTGAGGTGAGAAACAGGACGGGAGGAGAGATGTCATATATCTCAGCTTGTATTAAGACTGTGACTTTGTAGTTAATGAGGCTAGTTTGATCTAGTCTAATTTCTAAAGGGCTTGATGCTTGTTTAGGACGCTGGTGAGAGAGGACACCAAATGTGTGACTTTGTATTACGGCAAACTTGTTAGCGCGGTTCGGATGCCACATGGACCCGTCGTTGCGCAAAGCGGCAGGAAGAACAGACAGGGGAAGAGCGTGCGAGACAACCCCTGGCGCGGGAATGGTCCCCGGAAGGTTGCTGCGCAAGGCACCGCGCTCCTGGATCTGTCCCTGTCCCTTTTCTCTCTTTGTGGTCCGCCTAGACATGTCGAGAGAGCGTATTTCCTTCATATCTTGCAGGGTGATGATGATGATAAGATCCGCGATGGGTTGCCTCGGCGGAAAGGGATGTCCCGTGAGGGTTTGACGGTGCGTTGGATGGGTTACTGCTTACCGTCGCGTTTTGGTTATGTTGTCACTCGACCACGAGGGGAGTGATGGAATGTTACCGGAGATTGGGACTAGACGGCGCGTGGTCGTGACGTGATGGCTGGTGATTGGTCAATGCGTGGTGATGTTGAGCACCGGCGCGGGTGTGACGACACTTCGGGAGCTAGAGCGGTCGTGGAGATGGTCATTTCTGATGTTAGCTGGGAAGGAGGTGAGTGATCTATTGAACGTTGTCTTTGACCTAAATTCAACCTTGACCCATACGCTGACCATGACGACGATGCGACGAGAGTATAGGATAAGTAGGGAAGCTGAAGAAATGTTTATTCTAATCCGGTATATGAAATTTCAATTACATCCGAACCTCTATAAGCTGTTTCCCCCGTCTAAAGTGAAATCCAAGGTTGCCTCCCAAAGCGTCCCCCCACCTCATCTCGCCCTCTTCACCCTTATACCAACTTCAAACCAGCTTAGTAACAATGGAAGACAAAAAGCGAACATAAAACATAACAAAGAAAAGAAGACTCTGAAGGTCTAACCAAAGTCTTCCCATAACATACCTTCCCCTTCTTTCTTCCCTCGCCCTCTTCTTGGCTTCCTCCAAAGGCGCCAACGCCAGTGTCATGGATGAATATATAGTAGGCAAATACTCGCCGACGACTGTATCAAGCGCAACCTGGGCCTTCATCCTTGCACCAGGCGTCGGCTTCAGCATCTTCTTTAGCAAGTAGTGGAGCTGGTCATGTCGGTGCTTGTCGCATCCTCCAGCCCGGGAGTGCAGTTCAGCCAAAGTCTGCCCGAGCATCCACACATCGCCCTCCTCAGACGGCTGATACTCACTCTTCTTACCACGGAACTCTGGCGGGGTGAACTGGTCTCCAGGGATATCATTCCGAGTCCACATGACCTTTGGCACAAGCCCATGCCCGATGAGCTTGTATCCCCAGGGTTCGTCTCCATGCTCCGTTGCAGGACGCTTAAAACGGATGATGTTGCTGGGATGGACATACCCGTGCACTTGGTGTCGATCATGAAGATACGTCAGCGCAGAAAGCACGTCCACGGCCAAAACCATAAGCTCTTCATCGGGTATGTACGTTCCAGGCTCGATGCCCTTCCAATTTGCTTCTTCGACCACCAGCATGTCTTGCTCTTCAATGTAGTCCTTGTAACGGACAACTGACTCCTACATACTGTTAGCATTGGCCGGTCTATCGCTTTGGAACCCCAATCAGCGAGGCAGTTACGGTGTGCGTGACTTACAAAAGCAGTATCTTCACCCAGGGAAACTTCTTCCTTCGCAAACCGCTCAAGTTCACTCTTTTCCTCGGGGCTGCGGCCGACAAACTTGATGAACATCAAGTTGTTCTGACCTTGTTCCGCATTCAACTGGTGACCGTCGTGCAACTCGTAAACATTCTTCTGGTACCCATCTCTCTTCAAGCCCGTAGTTGTGTATCCGTTTGTTCTTCCGGATTTATCCGGAACGCCAGCGAGGTTGTGATATGTGGGTGTCATCTTGAAGTGTGAATCGTGGGTGGTGCTGTTCATGCGACAAGATGACGGCGATATGGCGTGTCTTTATACCATCATCATGAGTGAACTGATGCCCTCAATACCGCGGCCACGATGAAGCTACAGCTTGTCCATTCTGGTCCTCGAGGGCAGACCCGGTCTGAAACATCTCACCTCGTCGCTCCCTCAATGGTCTAAGAATCGGAATCATGAGACAGGCCATATGGTAAACCTCTCTATCGGAACTAAGGGCCCTTTCAACTTCTAGGCCGACTTTGACACCTTCATCATAAGTCCGTTCCACACGAAACTGACAAATGATTATGTGCATACACCACACACTCTAAATGGTATAAACCCCAAAATCCAGCTATGGACACTGAGCTCATCCTTTGGACTTTGTTTCAAGAGACCAGAGTAAGCGGTCACCTCTCTTTCCCAAAGAGTTTCCAAGAAAGGCCATGGGTTCCCGATGTAAACCTCCTGTTCCCGGCGTGCCGGCGTTTGCCATTTGATATCGTCTCAAAGTCACTCCATTCTCGGTTTAGTTCCGTCCTTGACGTTGTTCACCCAAGCCTTCATGTAATGCGGCCATGGTCGACAAGTCGCTTTTCATCCACGTCAGAACGCTCTGTAACACGCACAAAGAGCTCAAGTCCCTCTCCGATAATATTCTTAATATTAGTAACAGAACATCTTGACTAATATGAGTACCAAATACGGCGTATGTCAGTGCGTCTTATGCTCCGTGAAATCGTCCAAAGTTGTAGAATAGGGTTTACTTGGACACGATACAGCTTGCTCTGATATCGCTAACCTCGGATGCCAATCATCATAGCCACGAAAAGGAAGATGGCATGGAAGACGATAATGATGTTTGTAGCATCCAATTCCTGTCTTCGAACTACCATTATCGTGAACTCAGACAAGCCAAGTAAAATAATCTGTAGGCAGTCCATTCTCTACTTCCTAACCTCAAGAAACACATCTTTTCCTTTAAACTGCCAGCTTATCCCCAAATTCAAAAGTAAAGAAAGCAGATCCTACACAAATACAAACCAAACCACATCAAGAGCAACCTCTCAAAGCCTCGATTCACACGCGTAGACCACCACATCCACACTCTTCCCCTCGTCGTCGCCTGCCACCTCTCCGCCTTGGCCTTCTTGATAGCCTCCTTCATATCCCTCTTCTCAACACCCACCTGATCGCCTTCAGTAGCGGCAAACTTCTTCTCAAGGAGGTCCGTCAACGCGTCCTCCGCCCGGGGCCGATCTCCCGGCATGTCCTGCAGCAGCTTAGCCACCAGCCCCTCCAGCCAGTCGTGCCAAACCAGCATCTCCGGATTCTTGCAGGCTTCCTCTCTCGTCAGAAACTCCGAATATGCACTGATGGGCTGTGTGGTGCGTTTATACCGGGATTCGTGGAGCTCCTGCAACATCGTCCCAAGCATCCACACGTCGCTCTCCCGCGTCGGCTTGTACCGGCCCCTTCCCGCGAACTCGGGCGCCGTGTACGTCTCGCCGGGACATTCCGCCCACTTGGAAAAGATGGCCGGCACGAGTCCGTGGCCGGAGAGTCTGTATCTATGCTGCCTATGCCAGTCTCCACGGGGCTGAGTGGTGTCCCTGTACGGGACGACATTTTGCGGCCGGACGTCTCCGTGGACGATGTCCAGGGCGTGGAGGTACGTCAGCGCGGAGAGCATGTCCACGGCCACGTTGACGATATCAGTGTCCTGAAGCTTTCGTAATATGTTGTCGGCCAGGAGGCCGCTCCACTCGAACTCGAGCTTATCCATGACAAGCGCACACGGCAGGGTAGTGTTCCGGCGAACCGCCTGTTTTCTGTCGCCGAACTCTTCGATGAAATCCTTGTACCGTACGACGCATTCCTGTTCCCACATCAGCAACCCAAACTGCCAGTAGGAAGAAAAGAACCCACAAAAGAAGCATCCTCGCTCAGCTCCATCTCTCGTCCGACCAGCTTCCGCAAATACCTCGTCTGCTCCCGAGTGAGAGGCTCACGGGGACTGATAAACATGAGATCGTCATCTCCCCCGGCGCCGCTGCCTCGAGACCCGAACCGCAGGTCACAGACGCCGTTGTTCTGGCAAACGCGTTTGACAGCGTAGACCCTATGGCTCTCGCCTTTGCGCTCGGCGCCGATGGCATAAAATGTATCATCGATAGGCCTCATCTTGGACGGAATGGGCATCTTGATTATGTGAATGATTTAGGCGAGGTGTTTCTAATAATGACGATTTGGATGAAGGGATATCAATCCATAATCCAGTACGCCTGGCTCCTCTATATATTCTAACAAATAACCATGAAAACGACCAATATCGTGACCCGTGTACAGCGCGCATCTCGTCGATCCGAGTCGTGGTATACAGACCCGGCCTGATACATCCTCCACCGCCCAATGACCCAAGGCTGGACAGACCAAACCGACCATACACCATGACCAGCCTCTCGTGACAAGTCGAATCGACATGCTCGCCATCGGCCGGACAATTGGGTTTTGGGCAGTTCGGCCACTCTTTGTCCCGTGGGATCTGCCTTCCAATTCACACAATGGAACCAAGTACATCTTTGTCCCAAAACAACTTAAATCGACAGGTCGTCTTTTATATTCATCCGACGGAGTGTCTCTATTCCCGCAAAAAGACCCAAAGGATAGAGAAGGTGTTTCTTTCTGGCCTCTTTTTATCCCTTCGCAATAAATTGATCAACAGAGACCACCGCCACCACCAGCCCTTTCAACATCTACGTGTATCAACACGGCTCTTCGACCACTCATCGCGACCATCAGGCCGCGAGCATGGCTTTCCATCTCATGAGCAGCCCCCTGCCCCCGGAGGCCTAGGCTATCATGGATATCAGACCTACCAACTAAGCTGAAGGAATAGCATCCAAATCTGACCAGTCAGCTCCAAGCTAGCCATCGGGCACAAGTCCGATCCTCTCCAACGCTCTCAGCCAATTCCCTTAGTCATACAGTATTCGTGTCGATTTAGCACTCTTCACACCGTGTTCGCAGCGACATCATCAAATTCGAATTGTCACTGCTACCATTTCATTGGCCAATGCCGCAACTCAATGCATTTCTCACCGCCAATCATCGTTTCACATGTTTTCATTTCCAATGCCCCTGCAGTTTTACTGATTTGATTTGTCTTGATCTTTCATGATCTAGTGCTGCCATTGCTGACTTTTGCATCTATCTACTCTCGTCGGTTGGTTGACGCCGTCGGAAGAAGCAAAAATCCTGAATCTTCCTACCCATGCCAGAGTTATTCTTTTGTGCATAGAATGCACTCGGGTAGATATTACACGGAACCAAGTCCTCCTCATCGTCCCATCCACCAGTTCCAATCCATGGTAAGAGATGGAAGACATGATAACTCCAGCCTGATGCAAATTTTGAGACGAATAAATGTGACCCATGGGTTTCATCCTTTTTCGTCACCCCAATACCATTTGTCCTCAAGCATCAAAAGATTTCCGGCCGTTGCTCAGACTGGTCGTAAAAATGAAGCCCTTCCGACGCCGTAAACAATGCAATGCTGAAAAGACAATAACCAAGTTGAAAAATCCCATGTAAAACATGCGTCGAAAATGTGTTCAAGTACGCAGTGCTGGGAAGTACCCCCACGCCTAGTTGGGGTACGGTCCCTGAGGAAGACCCTGGGGAATCTGAGACATCTGGCTGATTCTGTAGGGGTTGTTCATGAACTCAGGAACAACTCCAGTTCGTAGGTCGTTGCGCCTGCCAAGAGGCTGGTAGTGCATTTGCGTGGTCGGCAGGTGATACTCGTTCAGAGAGGCCGACGGCGGTGGGTAGAGTAGGGTATTGACATGACGGATCGGCTTGTACGGACTCGGTCGCTGTTGCAGGTAAACGCTAGGCGAGTGAGAGATGGGCGTATGCGCAATAGGGGTGTGGATGACAGAGGCCGGGAATTGCTCGCCTAGTGGTGATGAAGCGTAGACCGACAGGCTGCCGGGGCTGTGTCTCTTGGTTGGCGTGCCGTAGCCGATGGCAGGATGCATCGGGACAGTAGCTGGTGTGAGCGAAGCCTGAGGCATTGAGACGGGCGCTGGCATCGGCAGCTGAGGCATCGATGTGGTTGCCGCCGCAGAAGGATAGACAGTCGCCATTGCGCGAACTCCGTTACCCAGAGGTGGAAGCGAGACATGACCCTGCGAAGCGTACGTGGTTGTCGGGGGATACACCATTTGAGAGGAAGCAGGGTTGGTGTTGAGCGTCAAATTGGGAACCGGGAGACGTATCGGCTGCTCGCCAACAACAGGGGGTCGGGCGACAGGAGGCATGGTGCTGGGCTGTCTCGACAATCGCTTCGCCGGGGGTTCGGTAACGTCCTCCTCTGAGCTCCTCTTCCTGCCATTCATGTTGGCGTGCTTACCAGACAAGGGCGAGACAGGTGGGTTGTAAGTCGAGGGCCATGCTTGGGCGCTCGGTTGGGTGACGGTGCTGGGCGAGAAGATAGCGGTAGCAGAAGGGGTCAAGGGAGGGAACGAGACGGCAGGCTGCATGGCGGCGGTGGGCGACGGCACCGGTGAGGTGAAGGACTTGTTCAGAGGCGATGTCGGTTGCTTCTGAGCACGCTCGTAATACTCGGAAAAACAGGCCAGTTTGACCAACCACTCCTCCCACTGGTCCTTGGTGGCCAGCAGACTGTAGCGCATGTTGCTGAGGAATTCGACTTCCATTACGTGGATCTCCTGTACCGAGATACCCGACACTTCGGCCCACGTCTTATTCGTGTAGGTGTTGTCATCCAAGACTGGAATCCAGTCAGCGTGTGCGTACACAGTCAATAGAAAATCTGCACTCACATTTGTTGCCCAGCATCAGGGCCACCGTCAGCAATCGATACTCGCTGCCGGATCGGCCCTTAACCACCGGGTTCGTCGTCTTCAGCCTGTAGACGAAAAGCAAAGCCAGCAGAATGACGTTTTGCGTCACTTGTGTCG